ACACCAAGGGTTGCGATCCTGTTACCGGTCACGAAAAAAGACAAAAAAAAAAAAAAGCAGAAACAAGAGCAGAAAGCAGATAGCTCATTTCTAAATTACTGTTCGAGGGAGATGGAACAATAGAAAAATAACTGATTATTTAACATCATGTTACTTCAGGCTATACTTTGTGTAAGGATTAAAGCAGAGGGAACATCATCACCATGCCTATTGAAGATTTAAACTGGCCTGTTTGGGAAATTGACTGTAATATCTCTCTTCTGATTTCGGGGAAAGTTAAGACACTTAGTTTGTGTTTTTAGTCTAGTCTGGTGGGGCCTAGTGCAGGAGCTTAGTCCAAAACAATGGTCTCCTATAATTTTTATTATTTAACACTCCAAATCCCAGGTGCCTTGAGGAAGAGGGGAAAAGGTATGTCACTCACCTGTGCTCAGGACCTTATAGCCAACTGATGCCAACTTCTATGCCAATTAGGTCGGTGCTGCACCTACAGCTCACCAAGTACAGACAGAGGCAATCTCCTCCCCTCATCCTCCCCTGCATATCCCAGTCCATAGCCTCTTAAATCCACTGCAACTTCACACACAACCCTCAATTTCCCACCCCAACTAGAGAGATAACCGCCCATACGTCCCCAGCTTCTGCGTCATTCCATGTTCCATGCAGTTACCAGAAATATCGCTAAAATAAAAACCAACTTCTATTATTTCCCCACCTCAGATATTATCTTCCCTTCGGGATAAAGTAAAAAATCTTCAGCAGGCGCCCACAGAGAGATGCCTTCCATAAACCTTTGCATGCCGCAAGACCCCCTCATCAGCCTTCCTTCCACGGGCCACCTGCCTTTCAGAATATCCACTGCAGAGTTCTGAGCACCACTCTGCTCAGTTCAGAGAGGGCGAGGGATGCAGATAATGGGGATGGGGTGGAGAAGAGCCTCATGATTCCTGGCTGCTCTGTTTCCGGGGTGGGGGAGACGGAGCCTAATATGGTACCCTGCCACCCAGCCCCTCTCCCCCACTGCCTCCTCCACACTGTATTGGCCAAACAACACCTGGGCCACCAACCCCATGCCAGCATTTGTTCCATAGACTCATTTCCCTCTAAAATATCTCAAAGTGTGCTGTAGACCTTGTACTGAGCCCCTTCAGCCCTTCACCTAAGAACAAAGACGGAGAAGAGCTGGGCAGGGGGGGACGGGGGGGGGGGGGGCTTAAGTTCCTCTCTTCCTGCCACATGCGGTATAATAGCAGATACTTCTTTGCAGTGGGTCTCAGATGTGAGCGTGCATCATAATTACCTGGGAGGCTTAAAACATACCGGAGCCCCACAGGCACAGCGAGGGGGGGGGGGGGGGGGGGGGGGGGGGGGGGGGGGGGGGGGGGGGGGGGGGGGGGGGGGGGGGGGGGGGGGGGGGGGGGGGGGGGGGGGGGGGGGGGGTGGCTTAAGTTCCTCTCTTCCTGCCACATGCGGTATAATAGCAGATACTTCTTTGCAGTGGGTCTCAGATGTGAGCGTGCATCATAATTACCTGGGAGGCTTAAAACATACCGGAGCCCCACAGGCACAGCGAGGTTGGATTTAGTAAACCCTGAAGGTCCCTTTGTATCGGTCAATAATTGATTTTGTAAATTTCCACAGGAAATGTGGCTTTTAACCCACACAAACTAGTTTAACTATGGCCCTATTTTGCCCTATCACCCTGTTCTTTTGCCTACTTTTGAAATGCCTTAACCAACACCACTTTATGGAGTCATGGAACAGTATTAGCCACCCACAGGGTCGTAGGACTTTATGCTTGCAGGAGCTTAAAATTATTAAACAGAAAGAAAAGTTGTGACACAAGTGCATACATTAGAGAAACCCAGTCGAGATTAGAACCTAGCATTTTACAAAAGAGCCCTTAATGGACCAGCCCTGTGCACAGCCCCCTCAGGGTCTCTCAGCTCAGCTGCTGAGTTGGAAGTGCAGTAGAAGAGGAGGAAACACAGGCTTCAGAGCCAAACACACCTGGGACCCACTAACTCTGTGAGCCTTAGTTTTCTTTTCTGTAAA